GGGGAGTTCCTGGGAGCCCCTGGGGGGAGCCCACACGTTGAGGTGGACGTCGCTGCTTCTCCAGCCTGAAGGCCCGTCATCCCGACTGTCCTGAGGCTGAGTGGGAGCGCCCCACGCCCCGTGTGTTCCCCCCACGTCCCCGCTCCCCCAGACCCTGCGTGAGTCACACCGAGGACAGGGTGGCCGCCGGGGGCACGTGGAGAGGGAAGCGGGTGGGAAGGAGGGAGGGAGGGAGGGGGGAGCGTGATGAGGAAGGAGAAAGGACGGGAAGGGAAGAGGAGAGGAGGGAAAGGAGGAGGAGAGGAGAGAGCAGCCGGAAGTGTTGCCCCCCGTGCTTCTGGCTGGAACCACGGAGCCTGGTGACTCTCCGCTCCCAAGGGCTCTCCTTAAACACCAGCCGCAGAGCAGGCTTCCGTGGGGAGCCCACTGTGTACACAAGGCCGCCAGGCTCCTCTGCGGCTGCGCGTCCACACAGGGATCTTTTCTTTTAATTTTGGGAAAAGAAGAATGTGTGTGTGTCAGTGTGTGTGTCTGTGTATTGAGTGTCTGTGTGTGTGTCTGTGTGTGTATGCATGTGTCTTGTGTGTCTGTGTGTCTCCGTGTGTGTATCCGTGTGTGTATCCATGTATGTGTGTCTGTGTGTATCCAGGTATCTCTGTATCTGTGTGTGTGTGCATGTGTCTTGTGTGTCTATGTGCCTGTGTATTGTGTGTGTGTGTATCCATGTATGTGTGTGTATCCGTGTATCTCTGTGTGTATCCATGTATGCATGCCTGTGTGTATCCGTGTATCTCTGTGTGTATCCATGTATGTGTCTGTGTGTATCCATGTGCCTGTGTGTATCCATGTATGTGTGTCCGTGCGCACCTGTGTGTCTGTGTATCCATGTATGTGTGTGTGCATCCGTGTGTCTGTGTGTATCCATGTATGTATGTGTCTGTGTGTATCCGTGTGTCTGTGTGTGTGCCCGTGAGTGTGTGTGTACCAGCTTGCTGAAAGTCGCCTTCTCCATCAAACTCTTCAACTGTTGAAAACCATCGTTTCTAGAAAGTGCGGCACTGAGCCTGGTGCGGAGCCGCGAGCCTCCAGGTCAGGAGCGATCATTTGTTTTCGCAGATGCCCTCGGCACGTCATGAAATGAAGCTTCAAGCACTTAAACGTCGTCTTCTTCACCCTTCACTTTCTCCTCCTACATTTCCATAATTCTAATTAATTAACCATGATTCCATTTAGTATTCACGAAGGACCTGCAGTGTGCCTCTTAAGGAAACCTTTCCAACAGCCTTTCTGTGCAGACGCCCCCTGCGTCCCGGGAAGCCGTGTGGGCGGTGGGCTGTCATCCGCTTGGCTGTGCTATGACCTTCTTCACGGCCTGGTTGTGTGGACACCGGGACACAGACACATGCAGGAAGGCGAGGGGCAAACCCCCTGTGGGGACGGGCGGTGGCTGCTGTGCACGTTTTAAAACCTATTGGCTTTGAAATGCCCGGAGCTACTGCTGCTCAAATTCCATCATCAGACTGTTTGGGGTTTGGGAAAATCCGCTGTCAATTCAATCTGTTCTTCGGGAACCTTCCTGAGGAGGCTGAGAGGAAGCTCGGAGACAGGGCCCCCGGGAGGAAAGCTCTGCAGGCGACACCCCAGACCTCGGGGCGCTGCCCACACTGCCCCAGTGAAGGTAACACTCCGTGGGGGCCACTGAGCCCACCCCAGGGGCTGAGGGAGGAGGGGACAGCCACCCATGGCTGGAGGCAGGAGCTCCGTCTGACACCTGCCCAACCTCTTACCACCTAGACTTCACTGAGTGGCAGAAGTGGGTGGGGGCTCCCCCTGGTCTGGAGCCCAGAGCAGGAGCCTAACTCTCTCCTCGGCTGCCCTGCCGCCCAGGTGGGTGCTGGTGTCTCTCCTGGGAACCCGTTCACCAGGGGCCGCTGCCTGGCCTTGCACGGGGCCCTGGGTGTGGCGGCCGCGTGGTGGTTCTGTCCCCGCTGCTCTCATCCCGGGTCCTCTGCTCTCGGGGACATCCTCCCCCCAAGAGGCTCCCGGGGCTTGCAGGCGGTTTCCTTAGAGCGACGCTTCACAGGAGAGGACTTTGTCACCTGAGCACTGACCCATCGGAAAGCAGGCTGGTTCTGGAAGGGCCCACACATGTGCCAGGGCAACCGTCCCACTGCAGGTTAGACGGCGAGCATCGGGCACTGTCCGTGTTCCAGCCTGAAGAGGCGCAGCCTTCGAGCACAGGTCTCCCCCTGGTCCTTCCACGGCCCTGCCACAGTCCCCATCATGGCCTCCACCACGGCCACCCCACGACCACCCCACAGCCTCACCACGGCCCCACCACGGCCCCACCATAGCCCCACCACGGCCCCACCACAGCCTCCACCACGGCCAACCCATGGACCCACCACGGCCCCGCCATGGCTGAGGTCCACCGGCATCATATGTCTCCGGCTGCTTCCCAGACCCGGGAGGCCGCTCCCCTCGCCTCCTTTGCTTGGCAGGAGGCAGGCTAAGGCCTCGCTGTTCTTCCCCCAAATCACAGCTCCTCCACGAACACAGAAAGTCCCATCTTTGGGTTTTACCCTCAATGGCACCTTTTCTGCTCAAACAGATGCTCACGGGGCCCATGCCCACATCAGAGCTGCTGGGGTGACCGGCTTCCTGGGTGAGCAGCACCGACGGGGCCTCTTTAAGATGCCAACGCAGCACTGAGATTTGAACTAAGAGTCTAAGTTCCTTTCAAATCCAATTACAGAATTTTTCCGGGGGCGAGAAAGGCTGAGCATAACAGTCTGAATACTCAGATACAATAGAAAGGATCATGAGGTGACTACATACATGTACATGCACATTCGCATATACATGCATGTATAAGCATGTCTGTCAAATATAGAATCTTCAAATTACGATTTTATGTATTTATATAGGAAATCATCTCTGCTTACTTCCTGTTGGTATTGAGGGAAACAATCATTTGCATGGACACACCTCTTAGATAATTCCAGCTGGCAGAAAACACATGCAGTTCATATACGTTTGCTGGCTTCCCGAAAGGAAGCTGAATAGTAAAACCTTTATGAAATGCCCCCCTTTTTCGAGAATGCCCTGAGTTTCCAAGTCGAATTACCTCCCCTGCGAGCCTGGCTTCCCGTCACCGGGGATAAGCCACTCACAGGCCAAATTAGCCCGCTATCTTCTCCGCATCAATCTCACTGCCCACCAAGAGCCATTAAGAGAGCGTTAAAAAAAAAGACTATTCCGTTTACCATTTAATTCCCCAAAACCTCCCCGGTGAGCTTCCTAGGGGGTCTGTCAGGGCGGGTGCCTCCTACAGGGGCCACCACAGGTGAAGGTGCAGAGGGCCCTCCCTGTGAACTGTCCCCACTGTCAGCAGCAGGTGCTCAGCCTGTTAGGGTCCTGCCTGCGCTGAGGAGGACGGAGCGCCCCGCCCTTCACCCCCCCGCCCCCCGCAACCTCCTCCCTCTAGAGACTTCTGCTGAGGAGTTCAGCCCAGACCTGCTCTGTCCTCACTGTGTGTCCGACTCTCCACATTTATTCACGAAAATCCCAGCCGCACACAGCGCCTCCTGGGCACCTGGATGTGCCCGGCTGGCATCTTTTTAATAGAGTAAATGAAAATTATTCTCTTTTTTTTTAAAAAAAAACAACACATTTTAAATCTCTCTCTCTGTGTGTGTGTGTGGGGATCATTACATCCTAGTTTTAAAGAAATTCAAACACCGACAGTAACTTTTTTCTTCATCCATTTCCTTTTGTGGCAAGAAACCCAGCTCCCAGGACTCGAACCATGAAGTTGACGATAAAGCGAAACAAAAACACCTAACTCCACCAGGAGAGCGCCGGCGCGTTGGCCTGCCATTTGCTTTGCACCCCGTTCAGATCCCCGAGTAGATAGATGAGCCATGTTCTGATAGGAGATCCCAGGAGAGCAGGACCAGCGGGTTTGAGAAAGACGGGGTGAAGCGTAAACCCCTGAAAGTTCTTCTGAGCTGCGTGAGGGCTCACACACAACACAGACATCCCTGACAACACTCTGACAATCATCC